ATTCTAGAGAATTTTTTAAGCCTCAAAAGTTTGCGAGCCATTCTCCAGATGCTTCGACAGACATAGCATCGCTCGCTAAAGGAAATCGTCGGCATTACCACATGCGTTCTGCCAACGAAGTTATCTACGAAATAATTAGACTCGAAATCAGCGGCACAAGACACGCACGATGATCATACTAAAATCAGATACTGAACAGGTTAATACCCGCACCCTCCCCAAGGTTCTAGTTGCAACTAGTTAAGAAGATGCATAACTTAACTCGAACCTAGTTTGAAATCATGATCGCAGGCTCAATTTGCTTACACGGTCCTATTGGTAGACACCATGATGATGTAGAGAACCCCCCCCCCCCCCCCCCCCCCGGGAGAGAAAAGAGGAGAAAAGCGATCCCCGCATCTGCCGTTTTCTCGTGGCCCTCACAGAGACAAGGAAGCACTCCAGTTTACCTGCAAGTGAGTGGGGCCGCTGGGGGCCTTCCGCAAGAGTTCAAAGGGCGAGGGGAGGCCACGCAACCTCCTTCTCCCTCTCGGGCCACCGTCGGTAGCGACCGTGCAAGCCACAGCCGGCGGCCGGGGCCACCCCCAACACCCCTAGTGACCCCCTCCCCCCCCCCCCCCCCCCCCCCCCCTTAAGCGTGGCGACTCACTGTCCTTGGCCGCATTCATTTACAGCCCACCTCGCCTAACGGAAAGTGCCCCTCAAAGGTATCCCTCTTTAAAAAAAGAACATAGGAAACCTGCACTGAGCTAGGGAAGCGGCTCCCCTTCTGCTTAGATCTGGCAGTCTGCAGGTACACCGAGCCTACTCCTCCACGTGGGTCCAATTCTCTTCTTACTCCCCCCGCAGACGGGGGGGCCTAACCTACTCCCTGTCGAGCTAGGGGAGTATGCCCAGTAGCCAAACGACGCCCCTTTCCACGGAAGTCTCCCCCCGAGGGCTCTGTGGGTCCCTTGTCTCCTTCGAACGCTCTTTCTTTGCATTGGGGCCCAGACATTTTTGCTCACGAAGGGGCTGGGCCACCTAGAGCCACTCTATATGGCAGCGTAGCTGCCAGAGTAGCGACACGACGCAAAATTATCTAGATACACGACGTCAGATGCGCTGATAGTGATCTCCATTTTGGGCCTGAGAGGTTGCCATGGTAACCGTGCTTCTAGTGACGCCGGGCGGCAACCTTTGTAGTCTAGTTGATATCTCCATTCGTTCATTGAAAAGTGGACGCTTGGCATCGCGGTATGGCAAGAGCCTCCGGAGCAACGGTGCCTGTTTTTTTCTGAAAAGTGAGACGATTTGCAGCCCGGGGACTGTCGGGCGACGAGAGCTGCTATGGGATCGTACGTGCACGGACAAGGCGAGTGGTTTTCGGCGCCGCCGGGATGGCGGCCGCTTCGTGGGACGAACGTACCGTCCTAGTATTTTCGGACTTCGCTCCGATGGAACAAAATCCGATTACGCCGGCCACGACAGGACGATTGGCCCGGGACATGACTGCTGCTCGACTGCCCCATAGTGAGCGAGTATATGTTTAGCATCATACTTCTTCAAGACCCGATCATCCCTTCAAGATGAGATTTTCTCACCGACTGGTGAGGAGCGACGTCGACGGGGTTCAGCCAAGAAGGACGGCATGGTGGTCTCTAGAGAATTTTTGACGCCATCAAAAAAAGACGGACGCCAGATATGAGGTGTTCTTGCCGACAGGCCAAATAGTCGTTCAGAAGTTTACCGGGAATCAAAAAGTCAACATTTTTATGTGGTGTAGCACACATATCCGTGTTAAAGGGGCCACGAAATTATTTTTGAACTTCTTCTTCCTTACCTGTAATCCTCAACTCAAAAAAGAACTGTGAAAACACGCAGTCGTGACATGCTAGGACACCGGTGCGATGACCCCAAACTTTCAACGTGCTTTTTAAGCACACCGTAGAACTTGGCATTCGCAAGTGATGATAGGTTTTGTCAGGACACTCATTGGCCAGGAACTCGAATTCAAATATCCATGGGTTGCTGACGAGCGCATACATCCGAGCGACGCAGTTTTCGTGTCCAATGCGTGAGTTGGGGTCGGCTGACGTCATTTTGGCCTTTGTAGGCATTGTAAAGAGGATATTTAGAACCATACACACATGATGATAACGTCATAGCACACTGACATTAAGGGGCACAAAACGGGCCCAGCTACAGAAAATAAATATTACACTCGTAAGAAATAAATACGTCTGTAACGTTTTAATTACAAAGACGAACACACTTCTGATAGTATGTGTTGATGCATTGACATTTCATATACGTCATTTGAGCAAGCGCCAGTTGTTCACTTGAAAAACAAACCAAAAAACACTACGATCAAATGCAAGCTATTGCAACGAAAGCAAGTGATATCAAAATCTTCAGAACTGCCAATTCGTAAAATCGGCGATTAGTAAAAAAGGTTAAAGATCGCAGGAGCTTCCTCGCTAAAAAATGCTGTGATTATTTGGTGACTCAGTGCTGAAACAATTTCCCTTAGGCCCTAGACGCGCCGTATACTTTTCCTTATGATTCTCAGGAATTCAGACTTTCAAAGGAAGCTAGAAAAATTCGAAAATTTTATCCTAAAAGCTATGTGGAGCACAAGTTTGTCTGCTTCTTTTCGCAGGGGCTGTGGTGACGTCAGAACGCCGAGATCTGAGTGGCTCCGATTGAAGGATAGTGGGTAGACCTAAAAGCAAGCTGCCTTGAGGCCTACCCACTATTCCTTATTCAGAACCAATCAGAGCTCGGCGTTCTGACGTCACCACAACCCCTACTAAAAGAAGCAGACAAACTTGCGCTGCGCATATCGTAAAATCGTTTATTAGTACACTTGGGAGTTGTGTGAATATTTATACAGCGTGTACCTGGTCAGCCATTTCAAAGTTGTGACGAGTCACTCGCTCTAGATGAGCAATTTAGCCAATGCATTATAACCGCTAGCCTGGGGTCTATAGGTCTTTAACGTGCACCACGAAGTAGTGATACACAACCGCAGGCCGGTGCGATGCTCATCCAGGTTGAAACGGGCAGGGGTGGGTATTGAACCCAGGTTCCCTGGTTGATTAGTAGAAAACGTAAACATCGCAGGAGCTTTCTTGCTAAAAGTTTGTGATCATGCGGTTACCTGGGGCAAAAACAAATTCCTCAAGGCCCAACATGCGACGCATAGATTTCGCATCGATTCTCAGACACTCCAACGTTCAAATAAAGCTAAGAGAATGCGAAAATTGCATGCTAAATGTCATATCGATCCTCAAACACATCCGGGAACCCGTGCACCGCTAAGGCGATATTACTGATGCTGTCGCAAAGGTGCTAATATCCAGAGCGATCTTGCACAGAAAGGGTATAAAGTATAATTCTTTCAGATCTTCACGTTATGCCTACGTCAGACAGCACGAAGAAGCTTTAAATCGTCGGCAAGCTGCAGCACATCGCGACTCCGCGCACCGAACAAACTCGCATCCACCAGCTCTGGGCGCTGCCATCTTACAGATGACATCACGGCTCTTGAGAGGTCACGTGACGAGTCGTCACTCGGTTGCTACGGCAACCGAGCCAGCTCAGCTCGTGGCTATGGTACCGCGTGTGACCAATCGCGGTGGGAGGCGGCACAGGGAAAAGCGTGGCGCTACTCAGGCAGCTACGCTGCCATATCGAGTGGCTCTAGGGCCACTCAGAGCACTGGGGCCACCCAGTGCAATGCGAGGCACTGCATATGGACAGCGTGCCCACACACGTGCCTCTGAAAAGGAAACAGAGAAAGAGGAGAACAAAAGGTCATCCCACGGCCGCAGGCAACGGCAAATTTGGGGGTTTCTCTACGTGCCAAACCAACGAGGGGTCCCAGGACGCCACAGACATACCATTCCATTCGATTACGCCTCGCTCCTAAAACGGTCCACCCGCTCAGTTACCGTCCTTGCCGGAGTCTAGGGCAATCCCATAAACTCGCCGGTCCGAGAAGTGACCTCAACTGTCAAAAAGTTCTAGCGCAAACCAAGAGCTTAACACCAACAGGTTCGCTTGGAGTCACTTAGAGGTGCCAGCGGTTCATGAGAAAACAAGGAATGTTGTTCCAAATAGCCAAGGTTTACTCTTATTTTTAAATCTCCTTGCTATAAAAAGGCGCACAAAACATCCGTCTTGCATTCGCAATCTGCCTACCAGGACACAAAGAAAGAAAAAAATTCTTAGCGCGGAAAATTGAGACACCAGCAATCATGACAAAGCGAAGAAACCAAAACTAGGGATGCCGCGTACTTTTTTCGAACCGAAGGTTCTATGACCGAATCACGCGGTTCGAAAGATTTCCAATTTTCGAACTTTCCATATTGAGAAATTCGACGGAAGTCGAAATTTCAAACTTAAACTAAGCTAAACTAATACTGCGTTTCACTATAAATGTTATCGTGGCAGAAGTTACAAGAGCTAGCTGCGGACTTTCAGCGTCCTGCCAAGCACGCGCGCTTGTGCTGTGCAAGCAGTGTTCAGGATCACGTGCTCGTCCTTGTAGCTTTGACCTCGCTTGGGCTTAAAACAAAACGGAGTATAGTTCCAGCGTTGTCGCGAATATTCTCATGCCGGTTCGGTTACACGTATTCAAATGCAGGAAACAATAAACTTCGTTCCATGTTCTTCACAGCCTTCAGTCCTCCCTCCCGCGGGGGCGGGCACATACGGTTCGAGGAACAAGTTTCAATTGTTCGTGTTACACAAAGAAATTGAATAGAAAAACCTCGTTTACCTAGAAAGACTAAAAGAAAGATGGTGTTGCAATTTCTGAGCAAACAGTTATATGCGCGGCGTATAGAATAGAAAGAAAAAATTGCAAAGACAAAAGCAACCAACATTTGGTGAGTTAGCAACAAACATCCTCGAAACGTATCTGTATTTTCATACTCACGTTTCATGCACTCAAAGTATAAAAACGAACACTCAGCGGTTGTGCTCGCAAATTGCCTGACGTGTAAAAAAAGAAAATGGAGCTGCAGCGGCAAGTATTGCTTCTGACGTGGATTTTTTTTCTGACCTTCGACGTTGTCATCAACGCTGAAGCATCGCAATGCAGCGAAGAAACAACTCCAGAGAACGAGACTGAGAAGGTTAAAGAGGTATGTCATTATGGTGGTAGGGCCTGATTTACATAGTGCGATTTCACACGGGATTTCGCAGCTGCGACCTTTAGGAATCCCAGTGTGAGCACCACGCTTTCTTCTCCGCACAAGCGACGTCGCAGCTGCACGTGCGCAAGAATATCGCACAGTGCCAATCAACAATAATTATCCTTCCTCCCCTGCTCAGTCATGCGCTGTTTTCGAACAAGCGTATTTTTGACCACGTCAGGTGCGGACGCAGGATTTGTAGTGAAAGAACGTAAAGCGTATTGCGCGTGCGCCATATACACACCGTCAGCAGCGCCGCCGCTGTGTCGTGATGTTAGCGACGCGCGTAGGGCTTTATTACGGATGTTCGACTCCAAATAGACGCCGGCAGAAATATGACCTCACCGAAGGACGGCCCTGTTGCAGCAGTATACGCGCAACAAATTCGCAAACAATTGCTGATTCACTATAATTTAAATCGTTCGCGTAATTCACCCAGTTCACATTTGTATCTGTGTCTTGGGCTGTATACAATTTTAAAGCGAAACAAGTGTCTCTGCGTGTTCAATAGTTTCTTTACAGCCTTCCTCCTAATGGCATTCTTACAATCTTATTTAAAACTTTGGTTGTTTGTTTGTTCTTCGTGGAAAAAAGCAAAGGTGCGAAATTATTTCGGGAAAGAATTAGAACCTTCCATTACTGGTATTTTCGGAAGTGCTGAAGAGAGGTAGCGCATTCTCACTGCGAAGGAGCAAATCTGTATTTCTGGGAGATCTGATTGTTTCTCGTCCGCGAAAGAATCAAACTCAAGTTAACTTAGGAGGCCAAGTGTATTTCCTTCCGCCCGAAGAAAAACAAAACGGTCCTTTGAACGCACCACCATGACTAAAGCAGTAGCAGGCACTATGGTGCCTGGACACCGTCTTCGATTGACGTGTTTAGCGTATTTTAAAAGGTTGGTCTCTCAATTTCCTCCCGATGACGTCATGAAAGTGCCATGCTGTCGCCGGCCGCGATCCTGGCGGCGTCACAACAGCTCTGATGGTGTGGTAGACGCCTGTCCTGATGCAGGTCGCTCTTTAGTGCGGCAGTATACAGAAGCTTCAGCAGCCAGGAGTTGGTGGTAAAAAAACACAGACAAGCTTGAGAACTAACTCCCCAATAATAAAGCCGAGACTGGAAAATAATAATCGGCCGCGCAGCGCGGAGTGAGAAGAGAGGGAAGCCCTGGCATCTCGCCAGTAACGACGCGACGAAAGGACAGTCTTCCGTGTCGTCTGCTACAAACACTTGTTTTCAAACCTTACTCGCGTTATGCGAAATCCCACTTTAGCAGTATCAAGTTGCTATGCGTAATGTTGGATGGTTTTGGAAACTTCCAACGCGCTTATCACTTACACTACGGATTAGCGAGCACTGTTGACGGTAATCAGTGGAATCCACGACGCCAACCACGACGACTATGAGAACTAACCACGTTGCACCTCCGTCCTCAGGTACGCGACGGCACAATCTAACCAGCATTGCGAGGTCGTGCTACAGCGATCGCTTTCGTTTCTTCGCACATTGTGGGCGAAAAATACGACTTGTTTTTATTTCTTCTTATTCTCGGGTTTGTCAATAAAAGGGTCAGGAAACGATATCAGCTTGGAATGTTCATGACTTTGCAGAGGCCTACTGGTCCTAGCCTGGCCCAAGAGTAGTCGCACACAATCCCCGCCCCTGCCCGTTTCGATCTGGATGAGCATCGTACCGGCGTGCGCTCGTGTATCACTACTGCGTGATGCACGTTAAAGACCCCAGGCTAGCGGTTGTGCCGCACTGGCTAAATTGCTCATCTACAGCTGGGAAACTCGTCGCCCTTGGAGGCTGACCATGTTCTAGGCTGTATAAACATACACACAACCCAATTTTAGTAGTCGCACAGACCTCCATTGATAAAGAAGCTTCTTTTTCGCTGCGAAACTGCGAGGATATAATGACGCCATATTTGTGGGAGCGGCTTAGAGTGCATGCTCAGATCGAGCTCACATTAAGAGGTTGCTAAAGCCGGCAGTCTTGATGGTGTGCAATGCACGTAGCAAAATAACTGTTAAAGCTCGCCAACAGCACGCGCTCAGCAGTCGCGCACACAGGTATGGCCACCAGTGAATTCCACCTATATGGGTACTTCCGGGACTCCTAGTGCGCAATAAGTATGCGCTGTGGACCATTTCAGCTAACTGTGCTTGCACCCCATTGCTCCGCGCGGATGCGGAGCAGCAGCACGCACTCCTTCACATTCCTCTTCGAATGACCTGATAACCTTGAAGTCGTCCTAAAGCTCGTTTTAGAGGTTGTTCTAGACTTCGTATTCGCGTCGTCCTCAAGATCTCCCTAGAGGTCGTTCTAGAGGCTGTCCTAGATTTCGCCTTTGACGTCGTCCTCTAGGACGTTTTCTTTGACGTTGTCCTTTAGGTATACCTAGAGGCGAGGCTGACGTCGAGAGGATGGCCTAGTCGCTCCAGTCACCGAAGCGGCTGGTTTTGTACGAATTTTGAGTGACGGGTTAATCTTCTATAATCTTGTAGGGGGACAATAGCGACTTCTGCGACACACAATGTCATTCTCGGGAAGGGGGGAGTTCCTCCTTCCCCTCTTCTCTCGTCGTGGCCGGAGGCGAGACACTCACCGTCACTAGCTGTCAAGGTTCCTAGGCGGGCATTACAAGCGAGGCGTTAGCGACATCCACCAGGTGCTCTTTGCTAACCGTTTAATTCGTTTTAAAATTACTTTTCGAGACTTTTCTACCAAGATATTGGTATGTTCGATGTGATACTGCTCGTTTGAACACATGTAGACCAAAAAATGAGCGCCGAAATTTTGTTGTAGTATCCCTTTAACAATGCCTGGAGCTCAGCGCGCGTTGTACACTTTGCCAATCCAGCGCGTGGTTATGATTAAAGTCGGCTGCGTAGGATAGGCGGCATGGTATAGGCATAAGATAGGTATAGCTCAGACTTGGACGTAGTTCAACTACTCTACTCAAACTACTGCAGTTTAACAACTTTTCTGAGTAACTTTGTAACTTTCAATTACAACTATATTTGTGTAATTAGTAGTTTAATTTAACTACGTTTTTCAAGTAACTTCTACTCAAATTACTAACTACTTTAGAAATCTAGTGCTAATTCTGCCGATCACAAAAGTTTGATCGTAGAAATAAATAAGACGCCGGCAGACGAAGTGGCATTCCCGAACAAGGGGCCCTCCTCATATTCTGTTCCCACGCACTTATACTCGGCAGCCGTAGAAACTGCATCACAGGCGTCCTTGGGCCAACGTGGCGACGAGCAGCGAAAACTTGACACAGGGGCGCACGAACGCAGGCAGAGATGCTTAACAAGTCTTGGTCGGGTATTGACCTAATCCGGTAATGCACGCAGACGCCGCGCCTCTAGCTGCAACCATCAAAGACAAGGACACTCAGAGGGTTGTTGTTTTCACGTTCTCTGCCTTTATTGAGTTCTGACTCAAGCGGTTTGGGGGTTCCACGGGAGGCGCCACTCGAATGACCTCGCAGCTGGGCGCCTGTTCCCATGGTCGCGTCGTCGTCAGCGCATACTCCCTTGCAAAGCTGGACTCCCCCGCGCACAAGTGCAGACACGGATAATCCGTTCATGGGAGCACGTTCCCGCTTCCAGCTGCAACTAAACGATGCTTGTTCACGTAACGACGACGATGCTTGTTCACGTAATCCTTCGCGTCCTTCCGACCTTCCACGCCGGGGAGGCCTCCTCTTTGTTGAAAACGTTTTACTTGTCAGGCGCGTCGGGATACCGTAGTCGCCGGCGAAAATTGCGAGTCACCCTTGGGAGATCGTTTTGTTGGACCCGCTATTCTGTTAAACCAAAGCATTTTTTTTTTTCAGTGGCGTAGCACTAACACTGCAACGAGACGAGCAGTCGTCCGGATGATCTCATCGTCATGGCGCGAGACTTGATCCCTTGACGGTCAGGTGCACTCGCTCGGCGTACTCTCCGAACGTCCTGAGAATAAAGAGGGGCCAGTCATAACAAACTCAACTTGCCGAAGAAAAAATTAAAAGGAGGAGAGTTTGTTATAAAAAAACCTCTAGCCGAAGCAAGCCTCACAGGGGAGGAAGTGGCCGAGTGGGCTAACGCGTCTCAGCTCGGAGGGTGGAGCGAAAGCGTCTGCTGGGAACCTCCTGGGTTCGATCCCCGCCGCCCCCGCTCGTTTCGATGTGGATGAGTTTCGTACCGGCACGTGTTCGTGTGATCACTACTGCGTGCTGCACGTTAAAAACCCCAGGTTAACGGTTGTACTGCACTGGCTAAATTTTTCACCTACAGCTAAGAGACCGATTACCCGTTGTGGCGCATCTCCCTCAATGCTGTATAAACATAAAGAGCAAACCAATTTTTTAGCAAGCCTCACTTGTTTCGTCATGGACACCAAAGATGTCCATGACACTCGCTTACCCGACACTGCACAGCCTGTCTCTGAAACTGAACGCGGCCTTTGCATCCAGCGCCACGGTGGAACGTCTGTTTAGCTTGGCTGGGGACGTCATTAGAAGGAAAAGGGGAAAATTCTCCGATAAGCACTGTGGGAGACAATTACTTCTGCGAGCGAATAAACTATTTTGGAAGTCATAAAATGACTGCATCTATTTTAGGCTCGCAGGGTTTTTTATGGATCAAAACTGCAGTCCATCTTGCTACCACAAAATATAAAAAGTAACTTCGAAAGTAACTTCAAAGTAACTCGCTACTTTTTACAGTAATTAGTAGTTTATTCAATTACTATTAGAAATGCGTAATTTCTACTCTACTCCGATTACTTTTGGCATTGATACTCAGTAACTTAACATAACTACCTTTTTTGAGTAATTTGTACATGTCTGGTATAGCTTTGGCTCCGAGTTGAGGGGATAAACGATGCTCATATTTCTCGCTTTTTTTTTGTCGACTGCCATTGCCTAGAAACGAAAAACAAAGCCAATTGTA